ATCTCATACAACTTTATGAACTAGTAATATTATTTATAGTTGACATGGATGACGAATTATCGATTGTTTATCTTTTAATAAATACTTATAAATGATTGTTAAACGTTTGAACTAATCAACCATTTATACATATAAAAAGTGATTATATAAACAAAAGCAAATCTACATAACTACCATACGGAAATAATTTTAACAATAGGCATGGCAACGGGGCGGGGATGAGGCAGGTTTTGTAATCCCCGGCCCCGACCCCGGTCCCCGGCGGGGACGAGGATTATCATCTCGTCCCCGGTCAAATCTCTAGCAATCCCCGGGTCAATCTTCGGTCAAACCCCATAAATAGTATTCTTTAGTTTGATTCTACCGGGGATCTCTGCCCCCGACTTCGTCCCCGGCTTCGGCCCCGGTTTGAGTAACATCCCCCGTCCCCGGTTTGAATCTACCGGGGATCCCCGGCCCTGGGATCCGTTTTAGCGGAGAATTCCTGTCTTCGTTCGGGTCGGGTGAACCGGATTCCCCCATCGGGTCGAGACAAATCACCATTCTTACAAATCTATGTAATTGCAATTAATGTGCAATTGGGCCAGCAGGTTTATTGTGAAAAGCGTAGCCCACTTACTACCAAACATATTGGGCCTACATATACAAATATATCAATAAATAAATATCAAATGTGTTATAATTTTTTATAAAGTTTATTTTTAAAAGGGTATAAGATGATTAATTTATTAAGTATTTTAATAATATAATTAACGTTGAATTTTCTAGAATTAAATAATTTTATTATACTTTATCTATACTATATATATTATAAATCAATCGGGTTAAACTCTTAAAACCATGTTTAATGTATCAAATATTGTTTAATGATGTATGTTACTTAAAATACAAGATTACAAGTAAATGATGTATGAATAAACTTTTTAAAGCTATATGTTTGTATTCATATTACTTGCTAATAAACGTAATCAAATACATGATAATTAAATATCTCATTTTAAATATAAAAAATCTAAAATATAACTATAATAATCATTGAGTTATAACATAATACTTAAT